GAAGATAATTTCGTTTCATCACACCTCTCACGTCCTTAACTGCGCATATTGCACTAATATATTTTTCACCTAAATTTACATTAAAATAACAAACAAAATACAAAACTTCCTCCATTACTTAATTGATGAATTTTTATGATTGAGCAATAAAGCCTACCCATCAAACGAGGCGACTATAAAAAATTGCAGGTCTACTTAACCTTTCGTAGGTCCTATCACATTGTAGGGTTGAAAATTGGTGGAAATAAAATGAATTTGAAATAAAATAATTATCTAAAACTTGTTTTCTAGGGAATTGTTAATTAAGTGTATTTGATTGGTATAATTTTTCGCCCGAAATTTTTTTAAATTTTGGTTCATTTTGTGTTCGTTTGACTTTGTTTTACATGCAAATTGTCTATTAAAGTGATAATTTTTTTCAAAATTAGTTATAAAATTTGTTTACATTGCTAAAAAGTTAAAAAAAAAAAAATTCCTAAAAAATCATTTTTTATCAAAGTTTAGTATTCATTTGATTTTGTTTTACATGGAAATTGTCTATTAAAGTGAAAAAAAATTTGTAATTGATTATAAAATTTGCTTCCATTGCCAAAAAAAAAAAAAGGGAGGATGGAATTTCATTTTCCCACCTTTTTAGGTGGGAAAATGATTTCTCCAATTACAAGGGAAATGGGTGCGTGAAGCAGCAAGGAAGAAAACAATTGCCTTGGAAAATTGTGTCTATCAAACAATCCAAAATCAAGGAGATGGAAATGACTTTTCAAGTTCCATGGAAATAAATGCACATCAAACAGGCCCTTACTTTTTGCACATAGAGAGGACAATATGGATTGGTATAGTTTCGTTCTTTATCGACTTCGAGATGATGAATACTCTTGTCAATCTTGTCTAGGTATAATCGGGCTTCAGGGCTGAATACCGCGGCGCTGTATCCTTTTTAATCCTGCTCGTTTGCACGTCCTTGCGATTTCGATGACAACTCGGTTTGGCAAGGATTAAAATAAAGTACTGCTGGAATTTCCACGTTTCTTCATTAATGTAATTTTATCCCTTGTATGCTGACTTCTGAATCTGGTGTTGAACTGAGCACGTTGCCTTTCATGGGTTTGAGTTTGAAATAAAATGGTCATTGTGCCGCGTCTTGTTCTGTCATTTGACTCCAAATGTGATTTAAATATTTTAGGCATTGTTAGCTTCAAAACGCACAAACCAGTGAATCAATCCTAAATTTATCTTGGTTTTCTCGTGAGAGAAAATATTTTGGGTTCGAAAGGATGGATTTCGACGAGTTGATTATAAAACCCAACAAAGACAAGTTCAGGGAAAAAAGTACTTCGACCTAAGATCACCAATGCCAACCCCAAATCCTTCCTTCCGGACCTTATCGAAGAAGAAATCTCTACTTACCTAGATGGCTAGATCAATTTCAAACTATGCTATAATACTCTAGCTTAACTAGGGAAAGACGCTTAATTACTAGCGGCGATAAGTACCTTCAACGTTTAGGCAAAGAAGCAGAAGCTTGAAATAGATATTTTTTCTTCTCCCTTCGAGCTTAACCGATTTTATTTTTTTCCTTAGAAAGGCCCTACATTGGAATTCGCAAAATATAAATAGATAAAAATAAGTTATGGATAATTTAATAGTACTCGTGTATCTCACGAAATATGTGGACAAAAATTGATCTCATCAATTATAAACAAGAGCTATAAACAATAGCTAAATATGGGCTTCACTCGAGGTTGCATTCTAATCAAGTAATGTACCAGGGATGTTTGTACCAGGGATGTTGACAGGAGCAAGTTTAGTTGTGCTTAGAATCAAGTTAAACTTATTTTTAAGTTACTTTTTTTTTTGTCAAACTTGATATTTAAAGTAACTTTTTTATACCATAGGTCAATTTCTAAAAAGCAAGTCTTAAATAAATGGAACTTCTAAATAATTTTGATAAATCCCATATAATGCACAATGTATAATTTTTACAAGACTTAAATTCTATTAGTATGGAATAATGCTATTCATGGTAAAAATTACTGGCAGTCGTCCTACGTGACAGTTTGTTATTTGATATATTAATATAGTAGCTTTTATTGTCTTGTACATCAAATAACAAATTGCCACATGTGCCACGTAGGACGAGTGTCGATAGTTTCATTATGAATAACATTACTCGTTAGGATGCCTGATTTGATACTTACAATGTTGAAAGAATAATCCACTACATAAAAGAAGCCTAGCTAGACTTCGCCAAAATTAATCAGCATATTAATTAGCTGCTTGACTATTATAGGAATTTAGCGATCAAGTTTCCATATCAAAGATAAAAATCAGCATGTGACGACATAGAAGCGGAAAAAGATATAAGAAAAAAGGTAGCACAAATGAGATTTCTACATAATCGTTCATATTTTATATCAGCTTTTGCTTTCTATTGAAAACTTGATTTGAGTATCGAAGGTCTCCGTCGAAAATTCCATTGGATGTACCATCTAATATTTCTTTGTGAGTGCACGAACTAATTGATTAGGCACACTATTTTTATTTATTTTTAATTATTTTTTCCATTATGCTATGTGATTTTTTAAATTATTAAAATTAAAATTAAAATGGAGCATGGGATTTTTAAAAGAAAAAGGGTAAAAACATAGAAAACTAGAAGGAAAAAAAAGTTGCATATGGATTGTATATGAAACAAACTTGGTAACTTATTTGATATTATTTTTCTCTCTTTCGCAACCCTACAATTTTGCAGAAAATTATCTCTCCCTACATAACGTGATTCTATGAATTGCATAAAAATACTATGAATACAAACTCAAAGCAAATACATGTTCCTTTCTGATGATTAAGAGCATCTCCAATGCAACGATGAATTGCTTAAAAGTCCTATTAGATAAGCAAAATAGATGGGGTTTTAGAAAAATGTTCTTCAATACAAGTTGATACCGTCCTCAAAATTGATGTGACCGAGAAAAATAAATATTGTTTAGACCTCTATCTATAGTCAGAAGATTCAAAACCGAACTGCCGACTCCAACAAATCATATACAAATTTAAATGTATAGGACTATGACAACTACTCGTTATGGAACAAGGAAAATCATAAAATGTCCCAAAAGCAGTATTTTTCCTACTGTAAGGTTAAGTAACTCTCAAGCCTCCTTTCCCCTGTAATTTTACATTAAATTTGCGCGTCGTGTCAATCCATATAGGCCATTGGACTCGACAAGCAAGCTCGACACAACCAATTCCTTACAACATACTTACTGTGAAGTGAGTATTTATTTGGTGTTTTGTTTGAATTTGATTTGATTGTCTTCAGAATTCAATCTAATCTCATTGCTTTGCTTGTTTTCTACTCTGATTCTGTTTATGGTTTTCCAATTTGTCCGAGTAAAATTAACTCCTCTTTCTTCTTTACTTTTAGGTGGGTTGAATTCCAGTTTCGGTTTTGGGTAACTTCTCTAAAACTTGCAGGTATTTTCAGGTCGAAATGCAGTTCTCATTTTGAGTTCTTCTGATTAATTTGTTTCCATAATTTTTTCTTCTTTTCAATGCGTTAAATGTATGTTTTGGTCAAGTAATTTACTCTGATTTCTAATATTAAATTTCTTGTTTTTGTTTTGAAACCTTTTTAATGATTGTTTGAGATGTGTCTTTATTTTAATGGATGAGTTCTGGTGTTGTCTTGTTAAAATTTGGACATGTAATGCACGTGGCGCAAAGTTTTAAATTATCAGCTGTTATGAGCTGATACTGTTATCAGTTCTTCTTTTTAGAATGAAAACTTAGAAATAAAAGAAGAGTTTGAAGAGCTGTTATTTGTTGATCCACTAAAATTGTTGGATCATTTCTAAGGCAGTAACTTGGTTTAGAAGTTCTTGGTCATGATGGATGCCTTAGCTGACCCTTTTCCATATTTTACTGCACCTAGAGTCTACATTGGAGACCACCTTGGGTTAAGAACAACTTTATGAGCTATGTTTCTTCACAGTTCATGAATCAGCAGCCGCAACAGGTCTCAACAGGGATTTTATAACAATCGAGCGACCCATATTGTTTGTGTTATGCCTCATTTTTCCGTGGCCCTGGAAAGAGGGGCCACATGGCAAGCCACGTAAGTGAAAAGTCTACAAGTCAAATAAAGACCCTATGAGGTCAAAATATGAAGAAATCAAACAAAACCAAGATCCTTGCGTTGCAAGGCCGAGACACTGCCTCAAAGGCCGAGGTCCATATTGAGGCCGAGGTCCGCTGCTAAGGCGCTGCCTCAAGGACGAAGCACTACAATCTTGGGCTGAACCACTGTCTAAGGAAACAAAGAAAGGAGCTGAAGCTCTCCACTGGAAAACCACCTCAAAGATTTCTCCGAGGCTCTCAAACTCGTCCGAAACTCATGAAGCCGATGCTGTCTCTTGTAATAGATTTGAAGATCTATTAGAAGTGATTGATGTAACACTTGTAATAAAATTTGTAAGTATGTCAGCCTATTGTATAGGACGGTTGACCCTTTATCAATTTATTAATTGTATGAATAGACAGTGATGTGATGCTGTGACCCGATGGATGATTGATTGAGAAAAGGAGAAGAACTCACACTTGAAATACATAATCATTTGGGTTTATTCTCCATCTTCTTTGGCATGTTTACAAGTGATAAATTCTTGTATACAACATAGCTACTTGAATATACGTTATATCTATCATTCCACATATTCTTGTTTATGGTTACATAAATTAGTTTTGGTTTTAACCCTGCAATTGTTGTTAGCGCGATTGCTTTTGTTCCACCTGCCGGAGCTTAAACATTTTTGTCTCTCGCCTCAAAGTACCTCCCGCGTCCATTTTCCTCATTGCTACCGTCATCATTCCGGTAGGAATGCGCCGGAACCGTACTTGGCTTGGCGTGAGCGAGCCCGACATTTGTTGATTTTAACAAGATTTTAACTTGTCCAACCTGTAGAAAGTCTTTTAATGAATATGAAATGAATTCTCCAGGCATGCCACCAGGAGGCGCCAGTAGGATCCAGCTAGCTTTTCCCGGACAGAAAGAGGCCACGAGCCAGCACCTGTTTACTAATGCATATGGGAGCTCCATGTCATTTCAGAGAAATGTCGGCAGTGAAAAAGCAGGACGTGAAACACCACCAAAAACTAGATACCCGGGGTCTAAGCGAAATATTAATTTTGTGCACGTTGATTCCAAAAATCAATAATCAAGGTGGTACGGAAGTTTCCAAAAGAAACGGCAAGAAAAGAAAGACAGCACCAGAATCCAGTGAAAGTTGTGACACTCTTGAGGATGATGGTGATAATCTGAGGAATAGTTTGGAGATTGTGGCAATTAGTACCCTCGCAGGTCTACTTGGTCCAAGCTACATGTTTTCTACAGTGAGAATGCAAGCGATGATGAAGAAGAGGGCGAGGAAAATGTAAAACAAGAAGAAAGTTCTTGTGAGGAAATCCTGAAAAATAGACTGAAGGAAATTGCAAAAGAAAATGAAAAAATTGGTGCACTGTTGGATGATATGAGACGTTCCGAGAAGTCTGCAACAGAACCAGAAACTTATATATATTCCGATCCAGAATTCAGTGACTTTTACAATAACAAAAAAGAAGAATGTCTCACAGTTGGACAAATTTGGGCTGTTTATGATGTGTTGGATGGCATGCCTAGCTTTTATGCTCTGACTAAGAAGGTCCTCTCTCCAGGTTTCAAGCTGCAGATAACTTGGTTAGAGCCAATCCCGGATAATAAGAATTAATGGAGATGGGTAGCTAAGGGCTTGCCAACTTCTTGTGGAAATTTTGGACTTTTGAACTCTGAACCCGCTGAAAATCATCTAATGTTCTCACATTTGGTTCACTTGCAAAATGGTGGAAGAAAAGGGATTACAAGATATATCCAAGGAGGAGAGAAACTTGGGCCCCGTTTTGGTATTCCTATCCCGGGAATCATAAAAATAATTATGAGTATGCATTTGTCGAGGTCTTTTAGACTATGCCGATACTACTGGTGTATATGTTGCGACATTGGGTAAGGTGAAAGGGGTTACTTGTCTTTTTTGGTCGAACAAACAAGGAAGGAATGGTATTGATTCCGGCTTTTGTAGCACGGACACTTCAACTAGGGTAGCGTGTCCATGTCCGACACATGTCTGATACGTGTCGATACCGACACTTCTCGGACATTCTAAAATAATCATTTTTCTATTTTTTTTACTAGAAATATTATATATTTTTAACTCAAAATTATTAGAAAATAACAAATATGTATTCATATTTAAAAGATTTCAATAACAAAAAATAATAACAAGTATAAAACTAAATTTATACTATATAAATGAAGAATTTTAAAGTTTCATCTACGTGTCGATGAAGTGTCGTGTCAGTATTTTTTTAAAAAGTCACGTTTCGACTTATCCAACACGTATTGTGTCGGACGCACGTATCCGTGTCGGTGCATCATGGATTCCGGCAAAGGAACTATTCAGATTCTCTCAATAGGGTTCAATTTAAATGACGGGAAGGAAGGACCAAATGTTCCCAAAGGATCTTTTAAACTTGGTCCTACTTCTTTACCCGCCAATCTTAGTGGATTATGGACTCTGAAAAACCTACCGAGGCTGGAAAGATGTATACTGCTTCTTGTTCTAAATCCTCGGCTGAGGAACTGAAGGCAAAATTTAAGAAAAATGCACCTCCCAAGGAGAAACCGAAAAAGAAGTTTCACGCAAATGCATCACCAGCAGGTTTTACGGAACTAACTAGCAAGTTCAAAGAGACAACATATGGAAATCGTGCTATAGGGAAAAAAGACAAGAACGTGAGACTAAATCCCAGTAGCAAGGATGCACCAGTTTCTATCCCATAAAGTTTTGAAATTCCCGAGCCGGAGTTTTACAACTTTAATGCTGAGAAATCCATAGACAAGTTTCAGGCTGGTCAGATATGGGCAATTTACAGTGATGAGGATACTTTTACCAACTACTACGGTCAGATTCAAAAGATTGATGAAAAGAGGGTGAGAAAAGGTAAAACGACAATAAAGTTCTTGCGAGGAAATCTTGAATAACGGACACAAGGAAGCAACAAATGAAAATGAAGAAATTAGTGATATGAAAAGTTCTGATAAAACTGAAACAGAACCAGCAACAATGCTGCACGGCAATAAGACAACAATCTACGATGAGTTACATCATGTAGTAGCTTTCAACATGGTACACTTCATTAGTTTTAGTAATGGAAGCTAATTTGATAATTTAATTGAAAGTTGAGTGATATAGAGTTGAAATAGTGTAAAAGCCCACCAATTAAAAGGAAATTTTGTCGATAGTTTAGTGAATAACACTTTATAAAGCTTCCGTTAAACATGTTCTGAAGGTTTTTAGACAGCATTCGTGGCATTCTGAATCTTCTTTTAAGACAGGTTTTGCAATTCAGTTTCAATCAAATCCTAAATTACAACCATCTTAATTAAAAAGATATCAGAGTAAAACTAATAACTATATGTTAAACTTCTGAAAAATGAAAAGGTTAATCATGTTTTGTTTAGTTCAATTATGAATCTTGAGAAAACAAGGAATGTGCAACAATGAAGATACTCTTATCACACAAGAATAAAAATAAGATTCAAAAAAGTTTGAAAGTCCTCACATAAAGGAGTAAGGACCATACTACAAGTACATAATCATTTACATAATACATTACATAATTGACATGTGGCGCGCATCCATCGGTAGTCTACAATTTTTGACTTTTCCACACTTCACACCCACGGTCGAATTTCTTCCACATGGGTCTATGTAATCCATTATGTACAATAATTATGTACATATAGATTTATCCAAGGAGTAAATAACCATGCTATTTGTACAACCAATGGTTGACATACAAGTTCACCGAACACTCACAATGAGAGGGTTAACTTTTTTTTTTTTATTTTTTAATCACGCGGGACCCGCACGCATGTGAGAGCTTATCATCCTCTCATGTACAAATGGAAGTTCTCAGGAGCAATTTTTTTTTAATTAATTATTGGGCTCTAATAGGTATTCATATTTAAAAGATTTCAATAACAAAAAATAATAACAAGTATAAAACTAAATTTATACTATATAAATGAAGAATTTTAAAGTTTTATCTACGTGTCGGTGAAGTGTCGTGTCAGTATTTTTTTAAAAAGTCACGTTTCGACTTATCCAACACGTATTGTGTCGGACATACGTATCCGTGTCGGTGCATCATGGATTCGGGCAAAGGAACTATTCAGATTCTCTCAATAGGGTTCAATTTAAATGACGGGAAGGAAGGACCAAATGTTCCCAAAGGATCTTTTAAACTTGGTCCTGCTTCCTTACCCGCCAATCTTAGTGGATTATGGACTCTGAAAAACCTATTGAGGCTGGAAAGATGTATACTGCTTCTTGTTCTAAATCCTCGGCTGAGGAACAGAAGGCAAAGTTTAAGAAAAATGCACCTCCCAAGGAGAAACAGAAAAAGAAGTTTCACGCAAATGCATCACCAGCAGGTTTTACGGAACTAACCAGCAAGTTCAAAGAGACAACATATGGAAATCCTGCTATAGGGAAAAAAGACAAGAACGTGAGACTAAATCCCAGTAGCAAGGATGTACCAGTTTCTATCCCATAAAGTTTTGAAATTCCCAAGCCGGAATTTTACAACTTTGATGCTGAGAAATCCATAGACAAGTTTCAGGCTGGTCAGATATGGGCAATTTACAGTGATGAGGATACTTTTCCCAACTACTACGGTCAGATTCAAAAGATTGATGAAAAGAGGGTGAGAAAAAGTAAAACGACAATAAAGTTCTTGCGAGGAAATCTTGAATAACGGACACAAGGAAGCAACAAATGAAAATGAAGAAATTGGTGATATGAAAAGTTCCGATAAAACTGAAACAGAACCAGCAACAATGCTGCACTTCATGTAGTAGCTTTCAACATGGTACACTTCATTAGTTTTATCAATGGAAGCTAATTTGATAATTTAATTGAAAGTTGAGTGATATAGAGTTGAAATAGTGTAAAAGCCCACCAATTAAAAGGAAATTTTGTCGATAGTTTAGTGAATAACACTTTATAAAGCTTCTGTTACACACGTTCTGAAGGTTTTTAGACAGCATTCGTGGCATTCTGAATCTTCTTTTAAGACAGGTTTTGCAATTCAGTTTCAATCAAATCCTAAATTATAACCATCTTAATTAAAAAGACATCTGAGTGAAACTAATAACTATATGTTAAACTTCTGAAAAATGAAAAGGTTAATCAAGTTTTGTTAGTTCAATTATGAATCTTGAGAAAACCAGGAATGTGCAACAATGAAGATACTCTTATCACACAAGAATAAACATAAGATTCAAAAAAGTTTGAAAGTCCTCACATAAAGGAGTAAGGACCATGCTACAAGTATATAATCATTTACATAATACATTGCATAATTGACATGTGGCGCGCATCCATCGGTAGTCTACAATTTTTGGCTTTTCCACACTTCACACCCACGGCCGGATTTCTTCCACATGGGTCTATGTAATCCATTATGTACAATAATTATGTACATATAAATTTATCCAAGGAGTAAACAACCATGTTATTTGTACAACCAATGGTTGACATACAAGTTCACCGAACACTCACAATGGGAAGGTTTACTTTTTTTTTAAAATTTTTTAATCATGCGGGGCCCGCACGCATGTGAGAGGTTATCATCCTCTCATGTACAAATGGAATTTCTCAAGAGTAATTTTTTTTAATTAATTATTGGGCTCCACCCTAATGTGAGAGTGTTGTAAAAATTACAACACCTTAATCATTGTACCTATTACATTGTTCAAGTTTATTAGAGAAGAAAATTTGGAAACAAACCTCCATTTCGAAGATTGTATGAATTCTGTAAAACTCATTTTTTTTTTCAAATTTATTCTAATTACATATTTTTCTAATAAATTTTTTACGCAGCCCACATTTTTTTTTCTATTTTTTAATCACATATTTTCCAAAAATATCATTTTTCACAAAATCTACTTTTAAAAAAATCTACATCAAACCAATTCTAAAGTGTAATACTAGATAAATATTTAGAACTTGTGCCATCATTTTCTTACGAGCAATGATATTCACGAAGAGTGATATCATTATTGATCTCTATAAAAGTTGGATAACGATCATTCATCCAAGACAATAGTCCTTGTTTGATAAAAATTAAAATTTTAATTTAAAATAAAGTTAACAATTAATTTTTAATCACAAAACTCAACAAATTTATTAAAAATCTGATTTTAATCCCTACCAAATTCGAACGTATATATCTCATAGGTGATAGAACTGACGAGTCGAATATTATCAAGTAGGATGATCCATCCACAAGCTTTTCTTTCATTCTAACCCGCGCCGGTCATTCCTTTTTTTTTTTTTTTTTACTGTAAAAGCCAATTTTAGAATCACTGCAAACTGTAACTCTTAACAGGCGGCGATTCCCAAAATTCCGCATCAGTTTTCCCTCCAAATTTTGTTTCTCTTTTTCTCAAACCCTAACTCCTCTAGCACTCGCGAGGGCGCATGTAAGTCTCCTTTCTAGTTTCGGTTCATTTTCTGTACCAAAATTTTTAATTTCTTTTCGATTTGTCATTATGAATAAAATTGCAATTTTCTTTTAATTACTTCTCAAATAAATGGAAGTTGTACTCTGTAGTTGCGTTCATTTTTTTTTGCGATTTATTATTGTGAATAAAATTGCCCCCCGTTTTTTTATCAGTTCTCAAATCAGTGAAAGTTCTATTCTTTACAACATCGTGTAACTTCTTTCCGATTTTTGATTGACTGACGTGGTTTTTTATTTTCACGATTTCTTAAATCACAATATGTAATTTTCTTTTATTTATTATCGTGAATAAAATTACTATTTTTCATTTTAAGTGGGGTTTACTTTTTCAAGGTTGTCACGTAGTAATTTTCTCCTTTTCAATGTGCAGATGAATTGCTATGGATGAAGCAAAATCTAATAAGACTTATTCTGCGGAGAATAATTTGAAGAACGTTGATTTAATGAACTGTGCAACGCCTCGGGTTGGAGGTTATTTTTTCTCTGTTAATTATATGTTTCTTTTCATTCTAAGCTAGCGTAATTTTTTTCCTGTTTATTTTAGGCAAATAGGTTTGACTTTTAGTTTATGGTGGAAATCAGGGGGCATAGCTTGTTCTCCAACTGAATAATATGAAGTTATATGGTAAAGCTTTTGTTTTGGCTCAAAAAATATTTTTGTCATAAAAAAAGATTGTGTCTTTAGTTCTAAGGATATTCTATATTGGTGATTGTGAATTCACTTGCTTATTCCATGTTAATGATTTTAGTTTAAGGTGGAAAAGTTTATCAGCATGTATTGTTATTTGTAGAAAATCAGACATTTATACGGCAAAATTGTTTTATTTTTCAATATATTTGTCTTTATATAAGTAGCAAAGGTTGCATTTTTTATTCCAAGGGACCTCATTGTTGGTGATTGTGGAACTATTCAATTTGAAATCTATATTTTGTTTTAATGGTAAAAGATGTGTTGTGGACTTAGATTGTAATTCATGAGAAAATTCAAATGTACTGTTGAAAATTAGCGTCTTTTAACACTGGTTTATTTGGGAAATTTTATGTGGGAGTGGAAAATGGGTAGAGTTAATTCTTACAGTTTATAGAATTTTATGAATGTACATATGGATTAATGTACATAAGAGCGGTATGATCATGTTCTAATATTTTGCTGTGCTGCTAGCTATGTCGGAATTTTTTTCTTTTGATTTAAGCTATGCGTTCTAGGTAGAAGTTACAGTCTTCTTTATTTATATCTTTTGATAAGGACAAGTCCAAGAGATTACAAACTTAAAATCATTGAAGTGCAAAATAGATTTATTTACTTCCCTATTTTCAATTGATTGAAGAGCGATTTTAGGAGTATGATTTATACTTGAATAACTACATTCCTTTTGTTAAAATCATTTTATTAGGCTTATTTAAAGATGATCATGCTGATGAGTTTCTGCATCTGCAAAATATTGTTGATGATACTTTTCCCTTGGGAGATGCGTTTGAGACTCAATTGGTGAATCTTGCGGATGAAACTCAAGTGTTGGATCATGTCGGTGAAAAACAAATGCTGGATCATGTTGGTGAAACCCAAGTGCTGGATCAAGTGGGTGAAACCCAAGTGTTGGATCATGTTGGGGAAACCCAAGTGTTGGATCATGTTGGGGAAACCCAAGTGTTAGATCATGATGGAGAAACCCAAGTGTTGGATTATGATGGAGAAACCCAATTGTTGGATCATCATGATTGCATGGAGGAAATTATGCACACACAGTTAGTAGACGAGTGCAATGTTGAAGATGGCGCTGGTAGTGATGATGAAGGAACAGACATAACCCAAGTGTTATGTGAGTTACAGGAATTATCTGATGATGATTCTTATCAGAGCGAGGGTGATTGTCCAATTCACAGGGAGAACAAGATTGACATTGATCGTTGTGAACAAGGTGGTGATGTTTGTAAGACACCAGCAGATGCTTTGAGTAATGGAGAGAATCATTCAGGTTTGGGTCTATCGAAATATAGTACTATACTTTTGGTTATTAAGCATTTTTTGTCAAGCTTAAAAATATTACTTATAAGTAACTAAGTTTTAAAATAAGCAATTTCTTTTATTAATCAAGATTCAAATAATAAGATACTTTGAATGAACTGTAGCTTAAGAGTTACTATCAGTGTATGATTTTTTTAATTTTTACATAAAGTAAGGTACAGGTAGCATATCTGCACATGTTTAGAAATAAATAGTTACTTAAAAGTAACTTTTACCTTTTTAAAGCTTAACCAAGCATAATGCTGCATTCTTGATGTGCAACTATGAAAAGACGAGAGTATAAATTGTAAACCAGTATAAACTGTTCTTTCTAGTATTCAGTGAGCACTCATGGGAGCATTGCCCATATTGATTGGAGACCTTTAAGAATAGGGCACATTCTTTTCATCACCTGATCTTCTGAGCCTGACCATAGTTTTCTTAATTATTTTGGATGCTGATATTAATTCTTCCTTTGTGTTGTCCATTTTACATTCACCGAGGAATGTTTCAAGAAAACTGAAAGAAAGAAAAGGTCCATGGTCCATGATTAACCTTGATGCTTTTTCTTTTGTACTATATTGGACTATAACCTATGCTCTTATGCGAGAAATGGGTGCTTAACTTCGTGTCATTCTTCCTTAATTTTTTTTTTTTGTTTTTGAGATGAGGTCTGTAGATTGATAAGATTAAGAGTGAATATGGTTAAGATGCTATTGCTAGCTTCAATCTGTTAGCAATAACTTGGTGTTGTTCAGGATCTGGCCACGGTGGTTTTACATCACTGCGTGTTGCATCCGTTAGGGCCGCTGGTTTGGCAGCTCGTATGAAGGCTTCTCAAGGAACTAATGGAAAGTCATGTTCTAGTAAAAGTGAAGATTCTTCTCTGGAACATCAACCAGTTTTGCGAGATGATATACCTCATATGAGAAATTCTCCTAAATCTGGCAGGGAAATTAATGATGAGCATATTCTGGAGGAGTACAATGAAGATGGTAAGGAATCAATGAATGAAAACAGGTTCAAAGTTGGTAGTACAACTGCAAGGAAACTTTTTAAGGATGATAGAATTGAGGAAGTTAGACAATCAGATGCTGGCCAGAAGCACACAGACGATACAGAAAATTTGTTGCTTGCTTCTGAAAACTGCTTGGCTGGGATAAGTTATGCCAACTCTCAGGAACCTGGAGAGTTATCACAAGCCAATGCACTTGAAGTTGTCGACAGGTTTCTCATGCTTAATGTTGATGAGTATGATAAGGAATTGGACATTAGAACAGCCTCAAAGAAGAAGTCAGAGGTTGTCTCAAGTGCAAAAGGAACTCGTCGTCTGGCCACGAACGCGTCATTGAAAAGCATGGGTGGAGAACATGGAATATATGATTGGGATGATAATTGTGAAGATGAAGGAGGTGGCGAGTTTTTCCTGAAGAAAAAAGAACTGTTTTTCGATGATGGAGGCCCAAAGCATAGACCTTTTACTGAACTTAGGAAGTCCAGAAATCACGGCGACGAAGAGCAGCAATCTGACATTAATAAAAAATTAGCGGGCTTAGTGTGCTCTGATTCAAAGTTAATGTTGCATAAACTGAGAGCGAAGGGCCAATCACTGAAGCGCAAAAATGGAAATTTCACAATGAATCTTGCCATGAATTTGAGTGAACAGTTAAATGTGGCTTCGGGTGACAATGATAATGATGCCAACAAAGATATGCTAGACGTGGTGAGCATAGGTCCTGACACTCAAATGGCCGCTGAAGCAATGGAAACTTTATGTATTGAGTTGCATTTGACTGATGGTAATGGTGACGGCTTGAACCAAGGTGCCCAAAACATGAGAAACGATACTTGCAAAAATCAAACAAGTAATAGAGCAACACATCAAGAACAAGACTTCAACCGGAAGAGAACACGTTCTTCAAATGCTGGAGCTGTTACAAGACAAACCAAATCAACAAAGACGACTAGTGCCAAATTAAGTAATGCAGAGCTGGGAAAAGCCGATCGAAGGAGGGCTGAGTCGGGAGACAATGTTGCTTCATGTGGGAAAGTATGCTCAAGTACTCTTGCTCCCAAAATTGTTGAGCAGAAGAAGGAAAGAAGAACTCGGAAAGGAAGCGTCATCAAGAATGATGGACGTCTTTCCACTAAAGCAACACGTCATATGTCTCAAAATAAGTGTTGCTTGCAGGATCAACTTGGATCTATCACGCCCGTAGCTCATCGAACTAGGAAATGCACAGATTTGAATAGATCAAAAGTTGCTGGAAATTACTCAGTTGATTGTAGAGAGGAGATAAATGATTTGATAAGTGGTCATGTCCTTAGAAGGAGGAGAACTGCAAGTGCCAGAGTTAAAAGTGCCAAACTGGGCAGCATTGAGAAACTTGGAGAATTGAGATCAATTGGAGATAAACAATCAGGCACTAAATGTTCTGGGACATCAGGTGCTTCGGGGACTGATGCATTAGGGTATCTCAGAGGAGGAAGAACTCGTCTAAAATTTCCGATTGTTGCACAAGAAGCTGATGCTCAATGTAGTGCAAGGTTAAAAAGACCAATAACTGATACTACTTCAAGGAATAATGCCACTGGTTGTAATTTTGTTCACGTGACTGAGAGAGCAAGTCCAGACAATGGAGTCAAGGCCAAGACATCTAAGCAATCTGATGGAAAAAGTGATGCGGAGATCAAAAGATCTGCTGAAGAAGCAAATGGCAGAGTAGAAATGTCTCCTAGAGAAAGAAATCCAATATCTGCCTCAGCTTCTACTACTCCTGCTACTTGTACAAGACCAATAGATAATGCATCACCTATCTGTATGGGGGAGGAATATCACAAACAGTCTTGCAGGAAGAACCTGTCAAAGTTGTCTCTTATGAAAGAAATCAATAGCCTGATTAGCAGTGCACCAAGACCATCAAGTCCGATGAAAGACTCCAGGAAGAGGAGAGATGTCGCAAATGTTCGAGTCTTGTTTAGCCACCACCTGGATTCGGATGTTATCAAACAGCAGCAGAAGGTTCAAAATGTGATTTATTTGCTTGCATTTGTACAAGTTAATAGATTAACCGTTCATTTTCTTGTTATATTTTTGTCACAGCTATTAGCTCGACTGGGGGCTTCAGTTACTTCCTCTGTTTCAGACGCTACACATTTTGTAGCAGATGAATTTGTCCGCACTAGGAATATGCTAGAAGCAATTGCTTTTGGCAAACCAGTGGTCACACACTTATGGCTGGAATGTTGTGGACAAGCTAATTGTCTCATTGACGAGAGAAATTACATACTGAGAGATGCAAGAAAAGAAAAGGAGTTTGGATTCAGTATGCCAGTTTCTTTAGCAAGAGCTTGTCAACATCCACTGCTACAGGTAAAAATCTTGCCCTTTGTTAAACATAAATATAATATTCGCGAACTTCCTTCTCTCATAATCGTGGTGCAGGGACAAAGAGTCTTGGTAACCCAAAATACAAAGCCTGGTAAAGACATTCTGTCAAGCTTGGTTAAGGCGGTCCATGGTCTGGTGCGTATTCCTCCTGGACTGTTGTCTTTTTTCTCACAAACTCAAATCCATCCTCTTTATCTTATGGATATATGAGATTTTTCCTTTTTTATTGTATCCTTTTTATTTTTTTGTGGGGTTTGGGGTGGGGGTGGGGGGGTGGGGGGGGTTGAATGCCATATGTTATACTAATTCTGGTTAAAATGCTTGTCAGGCGATCGAGAGAGTTGGCAGATCTGTGTTGAATGATGAAAAACTTCCTGATGATCTTTTAATTCTGTCTTGTGAAGAGGATTATGACATTTGTGTGCCTTTTCTTGAGAAAGGTTGACCTATTCTTCTTTAGCATACTTTTCACTGATAAATATATGTCCGGATTTCATTTTATTATTTACTTTGTCTACAGGCGCGGCTGTTTACAGTTCAGAGCTGCTACTTAATGGAATAGTTACTCAGAAACTGGAGTACGAAAGGTTGGTTACTTTGCACTTCGACTGCTTGGACTTTTATTTTGAATTGAAGCTTTCTGATGGGAAGATAGCATTTACCATTAGTATATTTTTATGCGACAAATGTTTATTTATTGGATGGGGTATTACGCAGAAATCCAATTAATGTCTTTTAGTTCATTATCCAATTCTATGCATTGGCCTTTTATCTCAACCTTTCAAGCGGAAAGGATGAAGAATTTGTGCCTTGGGAAGAATGTCCTTACATTCCTGCATATATCTTGTTGGGGTTGGTCAGCGTGCATGTATTTTAACTTATGGGAAGCATTAATACGTATTTTGTGTTGGCAGACATCGTCTCTTTGCTGATAATGTCAAAAGGACGCGTTCTACAATATGGGTAAAAAAGAGGAACCAGTATCTTCCTGTGACTAAATGCAAATAAGGTCACTTTTTACTTTTTAATTTAATTTTATTTATTTTTTCACCTGACGCCCGGATACCATCCTTGTGGTTGTGAGCAAATATTTGTAAATTAAGAGTATATTTCTTGTATTCATCACATTTGATCTTTAAGTTCTGAAGTACCCAACTCACCACTGTATAAAATGGTGGTTTCTTGTTGACTGATTTTGGGGGTTACCATTCTTGTTTATGACTTCATTAGTTGCGGGTACAAGTGTTCGCTATACTATTCTGGACAAGGATTAAAGAAGAAAATTATCTTTGTATCGGTATCCACACTACATATTTTTCCTACAACGTGCATTTTGATGCAACATTTTTTCCGTTTTCTTGTTATCATTAACAAAGAAATTCGACTTCCATATGAAAAATATTGTTAAACAATCTCGACTGAAACATTTCTTTTGATAATTGCAGTTTCTTTAGCTTATCACGAGAAAACTATAATTGTTAATGTATGCACTTCTCATAACAATGCCAGGAGACAACAATGGACAGACCATGCACACATTGTAGGGAACGAGTCTACTTTAATTAATGTTAAAAGTTAAAAGGTGGTAGCGCATCCCACATTTATTCGATGCATTCGATGATGCAGTTTGAAGTGACCAATCATAATCTGCCCAAGATTGGCCTCGTCACTACCAACATCTCTAATACCCTTGTTCGCGAGCTGGGAGATCACTCTATTTTCATTGTGCCGAAGTACTAAATTTAAAAGAAAGGGTGTAATTTTTTGTTTATATTTTTATCTTCCACAAGGTCGATGAATGGGAATCGTAACTTTCCATGATCCAACTAATCGATCCAACGATCCATGCAAATCATATCATATCTCAACTAAGCATTTATCTTCCGGGCTTTCATGGTTAAAAGTACTAGAAAGAGCAGAAATATCAAATGACAAGTGTATAGCAAAAAGCACAACCCAATATAATCACTTAGTTGTCAAGATATCAAGTTCATCATTATTGAAACAAAGATTCGTGCAAAATACCAATACATAAGTCAAAAGAAATGGACGACAAGAATGTCACTCACTTCATCTTTGCCTCAGTGAACAAAACATGACGGTTCACACGAGGATCATACTTTCGGAACTCGAGTTTAATTTGACTGCTTTGAAGCCTTTTGGTCTTCTTTACCACATAGAAGAATCCCGTACCAGCGGCCGAAACAAGCCTCACTAGCATTGCACCAGCTTTCTTCTTCTCGCCCATTGTTACTTTCGAATGTCAAAATACAGCAAATTAAAATCCAATCAGATTCCCCAATATGAAGAAACCAGCGTGAAAAAAAATTTAGACATAAATAGATAGGGAAACTTGACTTATGGGTTTATAACCACTCGGGCACAACGTTGTGAATTAGAAATTCTAATTCTATTCCACCGATAACAATCCATTAGTAGAAATAAATAAAGACACGGAAAATTTATAGAAGTTCGTCTTAATGTGAGACACGTGTTCTTTCACCGTTACAGAAATCCACTACGACGAAAAGAAATTTAGAAGAGAAAATCACACAATATCTTCTTTAATCTATCTCTCTCTTTTCTGTTACAATAATTCCAAAACCTAATGATGACTCCCTTTTACGAGATCGATCCGTGGACTGACTCCGCACAGCAGCAACAAATAAGCTCCAGAACTTAACACACAGCATCACTCTCCCATTACAGGATTGTCATAAAGGTGACTTCTTTTTAATGTGGTTGTAACAACTGATATCAAACTGGGTACTATAATATGAAATTTGGATATTCGACCATGAGGAGGGCTACTTTCACTATAAGACTGATTTTGTACAGCCACTGAGATGGGAAAAGGGGTTGTGATTGTCAATTTTAAGGCTGAGTTTTAGCCGAAGTGGTCGTAACATGTATTGATATACACAGTACTATAAACTGTAAATGCCTATGCGAAAAGCCTCTTTGGAGCATTACATCAAACAGTTGGTATACGAGTTCACAAATTTCAAACGTTAGCTTGTGCGGGTGAACACGTTATGAAACATATACATAAAAATATAACATAAACATACATACAAATACAGAAAGATAAATGAGGGAAAGCTCTCTCATAATGGTCACCCTTAAACTTCTGTAGAGAGAGACGGTGAAAGTTTGATTAGTTTGTTTTAGGGTTATTTATAAAGTGCAGCTTCACTCCGGTTTTGCTCAACAGTTACGTCCGGTTTGAACTGTAATCGTTACTACAGTTTATTGTGTTAATTGAGAAACGTTGTTTTATTTTTTCTAAATCTTTCATTTAGAAAGGTAGGTTTGAAGTAAAATTTTCTTATTCATCTTATTAAAACGGCCAAAATTATTCTCTAATTTAATTGAAATCGAATTTCAGGTCTAAAAATCCTAAATATTTGTCATTCTCGTTCCTCTTCTTCAAATCAATTTTTTTAAATTGAAATATTTTAGGACGTATCACACGGTTGATAATGCCGTGTCACATGAAGCTTATCCCAATGTAGAAAACATTATCACTCGTCTTCACTCTCCTCTCGTCTCTTTTGTCTGGGGTCCATCACCGACCGATTCTGTTGTGCTATGGCAGTTTCTCAGGCGGCTCCCTTCTCCTCCTCTTTTCCCCTCTTCTCCCTTCAGGCCATTCCCATCGCCGCCTCCACCCCCCCTCTCTCTTCCCCCGAAAGAAATGGCCATCTCAGCCTCTTCCTTCGCCGCCGATCTGAATCGCGACGGTGGTGATTGGGTTATTTTTGTGCTGTGGTGGTTGGGTTATTTTTGTGCGATGGTGATCTGGTTGTGGGCTGCGCGTCATTGTCGGGATCCGCACCGCCGTTGAACACTGCTGCAATCTTAGGTACGATTCTTAGCCACTGTTGGTGTGGCTGTGAGTTTGGTATTTTTCGATTCCATTTTTTTGGTGGTGTTTGCGTTGTGGTGACGGTTTGTGGTGTGATTTGGGTGGTGGTGGCGGTTTGTGGTGCTACGAAGTTGCAATCTGAGCTAATGCCTGCAGCAGTGATTTGGGATTTTTTTACAGGTGGTAGTGGTGGTGTTGGAGACGGGGCTGGTGCGGTTGCGATGGTTGTGCAGTGATTTGGGATGGGGTTGTGGATGGATTTTGCAGGTGGTAGTGGTGTTGTTATTGAGGTGGTCGGGGCGGTGGTGCTAATGCGAGCCTGTAGATGATTTGGTGACAGCGATTTTGTTATTGGTTGTGTGCAATGGTTGTGGCTGTAGCTGTGGGGATGGTCGTGGGTGGGGTGGGATGAGTTAAGTTGAGTTGATGGTGGGTGCCTGTGACCGAGAATTGTGACTGTGACTCGTTATAATAGAGTTGTAACCAGTAAATTTTTTTTTTTCCAATCTGTGAACTATAAAAAATTTTAATTCGTGGTGGAGATCGTGGGTGGGATGAGATGAGTTGAGGGTGAGTGTTTGTGATCTAAAAATTGTGACTGTGACTCACTGTAATAGAACTATGACTAGTAAAAATTTTGTTTTTTTCTATCTGTGACCTATAAAAAATTTTAATTCGTGGTGGAGAAATAATCTGTGCCCATAAAATTCGGTGGTCACATTATAATTTTTGTGATTGTGACCAATAAACAATTTGTGACTAAGAGTTTGAATAGAGGTGAAAACAAATTTAAAAGAAAGAGGATGTAATTTTTTGTTTATATTTTTATCTTCCACAAGGTCAATGAATGGGAATCGTAACTTTCCATGATCCAACTAATCGATCCAACGATCCATGCAAATCATATCATATCTCAACTACGCATTTATCTTCCAGGCTTTCATGGTTAAAAGTACTAGAAAGAGCAGGCATATCAAATGACAAGTAAATGTATAGCAAAAAACACAACCCAATATAATCACTTTGTTATCAAGTTCATCATTATTGAAACAAAGATTCGTGCAAAATACCAATACATAAGTCAAAAGAAATGGACGACAAGAATGTCACTCACTTCATCTTTGCCTCAGTGAACAAAACATGACGGTTCACACGAGGGTCATACTTTCGGAACTCGAGTTTAATTTGACTGCTTTGAAGCCTTTTGGTCTTCTTTACCACATAGAAGAATCCTGTACCAGCGGCCGAAACGAGCCTCACTAGCATTGCACCAGCTTTCTTCTTCTCGCCCATTGTTACTTTCGAATGTCAAAATACAGCAAATTAAAATCAAATCAGATTCCCCAATATGAAGAAACCAGCGTGAAAAAAAATTTAGACATAAATAGATAGGGAAACTTGACTTATGTGTTTATAACCACTGGGGCACAACGTTGTGAATTAGAAATTCTAATTCTATTCCACCGATAACAATCCATTAGCAGATATAAATAAAGACGGAAAATTTATAGAAGTTCGTCTTAATGTGAGACATGTGTCTTTTCACCGTTACAAAAATCCACTATGACGAAAAGAAATTTATGAGAGAAAATCACACAATATCTTCTTTAACCCATCTCTCTCTTTTATAACAATAATCCAAAAGGCTAATGACAGGTCCCTTTTATGAGATCGATCCGCGGACCGACTCCGCACAGCAGCAACAAATATTCTCCAGAACTTAACACATAGCATCACTCTCCCATTACAGGATTGTCATAGAGGTGACTTCGTTTTAATGTGGTTGTAACAACGGATATCAAACTGGGTACTATAATATGAAAATTGGATATTCGACCACGAGGAGGGCTACTTTCACTATAAGACTGATTTTGTACAGTCGCCGAGCTGGGAAAAGGAGTTGTGATTGTCAATTTTAAGGCTGAGTTTTAGCCGAAGTGGTCGTAACATGTATTGATATACACAGTACTATAAACTGTAAATGCCTATGCGAAAAGCCTCTTTGGAGCATTACATGAAACAGTTGGTATACGAGTTCACAAATTTCAAACGTTAGCGTGTGTGGGTGAACACGTTATGAAACATATACATAAAAATATAACATAAACATACATACAAATACAGAAAGATAAACGAGGGAAAGGAGAGAGAGTATTACCAGTGGGAATTTCTTCTGTAGAGAGAGACGGTGAAAGTTTGATTAGTTTGTTTTAGGGTTATTTATAAAGTGCAGCTTCACTCCGGTTTTGCTCAACAGTTACGTCCGGTTTGAACTGTAATCGTTCTACATAGGGGTGTCCAAAAGTCCCGAATCGAACCGAATCGAGCGGTTCTTCATAAGGGAAAAAATCATATTTAAGGTGTTTTCTTTACCTCAATTCAAAAATAAGGTAAATAGTTTAAAAATTCAAAAATCAGGTATTTATTTAATTAATCAAAAATATTTATTAAATAAAGATAATAAAGTCACATTTTGTGATTAATGGTCACATATTCATAATTTTAAGTTACAGAT